CGCCGACGCGTCGCGAGTCGCTGGTGAAGCCCACCTGGCAGCACATAACGCCCGGCCAGCTGCCGCCCAAGACGCTGGACAAGATCAATGGCATCGCCTCGGATGATTCGGACGACGATGGCTATCCCAAGCGGCGGCCCAGCGTCATTGTGCATCAGCGCCAGCAGTCGCTATCACAGCAGCCGCTGCTCCCAGAATACATGAGCACATCGCAGCTCTATCGCGATCATCTCCAGCAGCAGCAACAATCAAAACAGACACAGGCACAGGCTCAGCAGCAGTCGAGTGGAAATGGTTTCGGCAGCAGGTTTCTAAGCAGCGTGCGAATCTCAGCAGCTGTTGAGCAGCAGTCGCTCCTCGGTACAGGTGGAGTGGGAGCTGGCGGAGGCGGTGGCGGAGGCGGTGCAGAGAGTGCTGCTGCTTCTGCTGCTGCTGCCACAACTGCGGCACCTGGTCACGATGGCGCTGGGGCCACGCTCTGCAAATCCGCTGGGCGCGCACTAATACGCATGATCTCCTCCACGCCCGGGCAGGACGAGGACGAGGACTTTGATATCATGGGCAAGGTGACAAGCAAACACTATAATCTCTTACACTCAAATACACACGCACACAATTCGCCACAATTTGGCCAGGTTTTTTTTTTTTTATCGAAATTGAAGTTAACAACATTTCGCACACCCGAATCTCCGACTTGACTTAAGCGCATGAAATTTATCAATTTGCATTAAAAAACGGGCGACAACAAAAGACATACCAAAATTTATAAGCATTTATAAGCGGCTGAAGAGGCTGCCAAATATCCAAAAGGAAATCTTTATCAAACCTGAGCCGCAAATTGATTTACGCTTTCCGACTGTCTGTCTGTCCTCCAGTCCGCTTTTTATGTGCACTCGCATCTGGGCCATTTTATGGCCTGGCCTGATTTACATAAGCAGCTCAGATATGGAGTCATAAAATTCAATCAGCTGCGGAGTGAGAAAGGGAAATTAAACAATAGACTTGTCGCCGCTTTCAAAGACAACAATGAACAAAGAAAAGGCTCAACACTTACTAAATTCTTAATTTCCTTGTCAACATGATGGCAGTGTGGCGCAGTTTCACAATCGCGTGTCCTTCGACCTTCCCGGCAGCTATTCCCGTCAACTCGAGTGGAGGTTAGCTCCAGCTGCTAAGCTGTTGTTTTATGCTTTTCATTAGCGCAATTCACTAGAATTATGACGAATGTCCCGACGACACCGGCTGCGACTTGCACTCGCGCACAGCTGCAGACATAAAAAAAACAATGTAAAATAAAATAAATACGAGCAATAAAAATAAGAATGAAAAACTTATGCGCCACAGCTTAAATGCGCTTTCAACATAAATTTCTTGCCATTTAAAGCTACAATTCCTTGCAGCTTAAACGAATCGTTTAGAAAAGTTACCTTGAAAGCAAATGATATTACAAATGAAATAATTAATCTTATCCGTTGCCAAGTTATGCTTAGGAGAACAATGTCTGGTGCTGCAAATTTAATTTAATTCCTCTTTTAACTTGGCTTTCGGGCAGGCAAACAGCATTCGCGGTTAGTCAAAATATTTGCATAAGTTCGTATTCATTCACCGGAAATTGCGTATACGCCGCGTATGCTGGCCGTTAATTGGCTAAGTCTTGCGTGTGCTCGGCAATAGCAAATACGCAAATTAGCTGAATTATTTGTAGAGTTATGCTAGGCACCTTTTGGTAGCTGTTAGCTAGCTGCTAATGAAGTTCCTATTTAAGCAAAGGCTTTCAACGTACCTTCAGACCTAAGAAATGCCTAACTTGCGCCCAAACTAAACCTGTACCTGTACCTACCTACGGCTTATTAAATCGATCTGGGTTTTTTCTTAAATCCAAATTACGAAATGTGCCTTAAAGCGTTTCTGGCCGAGATTAAGCTCTGCCTAATGTCTGTGCGCTGTAAAAAGCCGAAATGAAGAAAATGTTGAAAAAATCGCAATTTTATAAATTTGTAACGCTTGAGCAAACAGCTATTGAAAAAATGTCTGTGTCTCTCACCCTTAAATGCTTAAAATAATATGCATAAATTAATATTAACAAACTGAATTTTAAATACGCGCACAACTAGGCATTAAATTGTATCCCATTATCTTAGTTTAGTTGCATAAATAAATAAATAGACGGACATTGGTATGTTGAGCTAGAAAAACAAAGTAGACTTTATGCAACTGCATCCATGCCGAATGCCAGTTACTAAATGCCACTGCGGCAGCCCGATCCCTCTCTCTATTAACTTGATATAACATTTCAGTTTTAATTGCCTGGCCAAAACTGGAGCCGGGTAGCAGCCAATTTGGCCAAGCAGCCAACTAAAACACAAGAGTGTGTTTTTTGGGGGGGAATATCTATAGAAACCGCACGAGTTATGCACGGCACGGTGTGTGCTCGGCTTTTTGGGCACTTTACTAAGCCATATATAGAATATATATTGTAGGTGCTTTATCATTATTATATGTTGCACATTATGGGCGCGCATAAATTATGGGGCTCGCTTGAGCTTGAGCATACGACACTTTCCATAAATTATTTGTGTATAATATTCAATGTATTTTTCTTCATTTACACACACACTCACACACACACACACACACATACGCTTGTTGTTGGCCAGGTCATAATGCTGGGCGATTCGGGAGTGGGCAAAACGTCGCTTTTGATTCGATTTCGCGATGGTCGCTATGTGCCCAGCTATTTTCTGAGCACAGTTGGCATTGATTTTAGGGTAAGCGATTTCTTTCTCTCTCTCTCTCTCTCTCTCTTACTCTGTCTCTCTGTGTTCTTGTTGTTATTAATATTGTTGTTACTTATTGTTGTATGTCTGTCTATCTCTCTTTCTCTCTCTGTCTCTATTTCTCGCTCTCTCTGTCTGTCGCTCTCTCTGTCTCTCTCTCTCTCCATCTCCCTGTGAACCCCTCCTCAGTTATGTTGCCCTGTCTGATGTGTCTGTACGCTGTCAACAGTTGTCAAGGCTTTGAATACGATTTTCACCTGCTTACACACATTAACTTTTCCATCATCTATGCGTGTGTCCGTGTCTGTCTGAACTTCAGCTTATCTAACTCCTCTCTTAAACCCCAACTTCTGTGTTTGCCCAACCCCAACAAACCGCATCTCCTGCTATGTTTTATACCCTGTAATCTGTGTGTATTATAAACTGCTTTATAAACTGTGTTAAATATATGTAATACCTGTTGTAATTCCCATGTGTTGTACTCGCTGCAGGGTATCCGAGTGTCGGTTACACTGCTTGTATGTGTGTATGTGTGTGTGTGTGTGTGTGTGGGCCGCTGCTGTCTGTTTGCTTTGTGGTTTACATGTTCTCCAGCTGCTGTGGCGTTTCACTTTAGTAAAATATTTTCCCGCCAGCTTAGCTCGTGTTCGCCCTCAGTTTGCCCCGCCCATTTCTGTGGACATTTGCCCCCGAGTTGTCGGCGTTGCTGCGGCAAAAGTTCTTCGGGGGCTATTTATTAAAAAGCATATGAACTTGAAAAGGACTTGTTGATGCTTGTGTGTCTCTTTGTCTATGTGTGTGTGTGCCCCTGTGTGTGTGTGTGTGCTTCTCGTTCTCGTACACTTGTGTTACTCGTATTTAAGTTGATGTTGTTGCTTTTATTATACTTATTATTGTGGTTGGTTTTTGTTTCAAGTTCTCGAGGTTTTATTATCGTGAACATTGCCAAGGGCTCACATGGCACATAAATTTATTAAATTGCAATAATACTACAAGTATTTGCCATGTCTGCCATTAGCAATACAACTGTTCCTTTGTGCCCTTTGTTATGCTGTCCAACTTTCGTTGAATGGGCACGTGCGTCCCTTTGCTGGGAGCGTGCCTCCGATTTCCCTGTTGGTCCATTTAAACTTAATGATCTGTTTAAAAACTGTGCAATTATTAAATGTAAAATATTAAACTAAATTCAATAGAATGCATTTTCGCGGTTTACAAACAAAAAAAGTAAATTCAGAAAACCAGGTTTATTTATTTATGCCAAAGCTTTTAGGCATCAAATTTCAGCAATTACGAATCGAATACCAATTAATTTCCATGAATTTCGCCTGTTCAGCTTTAAATTGTTAGCTTGTTAAGTAAATATATGCAAATATTTGTTGTGAAAAAAAAGGAATAAAACGAAATATATTGTAACTTTGACCATTTTAGAAGTTAAGAGCCATTCATTGAACTCGTGAATTTATTAGGCCCGTAACCTTGGGATACGCGAATACAAAAGATACACATAGATGTCCATGTATATGTATGTATGTATGTATGTACACTTATGTTTTACTTCTCTTTTGTATGCACATATTTCTAAATACATTATTTATCTGGAGGCCGTTTCCACTGGGCTCTCCTCTAAATGAATTTCACAGTAAATTGTTTTCGGTGCATTGACTTTCTGTTTACTTAGCTAGAAATTTGACGTTTGCCTCAGGTTTTCCTTTTGCTTTTGCGATTCATATATGTTTTTATTTTTATCTATATATATATATATGTATGTTTGTTTTGGCTGCCACGCATCTTGATGTTATTTGTCGTAATGCCTGCACACTTTTATTATATTGACTGACTGTCTGAGTAGCCCCTCATTAGACCCGGGTCGCCCCCATTAGTTGGATCATTAAGGAGATGCTGAATCTGCATGTAAACTGTAATTGTATTTCAGTATTTGAGTATTTGATATGTTTGCATTTCGTTTGTTTGAGTGGCTCATGCTGCGTATACGCAATGGGGCCATGTATTAAATTAAGCATACGCCGCGTGTCTCTCACGCGCTCTCTCTATCTCTCTCTCGCTCACCCTCTCTCTCTGTCGCTGCATATATCTCAAATTGGCATTCTCTTTGGCATGCACGTTTCGTAAATTAATTGCATTTGGTATAACAATTGCGTTTTCATGACAATCAAATTCTTTTTGCATAACATAATCATCATAACTCAATTGCATGGCCTGCAGAACAAGGTGGTCGTAGTCGACGGCACGCGCGTCAAGCTGCAGATCTGGGACACCGCTGGCCAGGAGCGTTTCCGCAGCGTAACGCACGCCTATTACCGCGACGCCCATGGTGAGTACACCAGCTCCCACTCCAGCTCCAACTTCGGCTGATTGTTTGCTTAATCATTTGATTAACATTATTTTGCATGTGATGATAAAGCGCTGCTGCTGCTGTACGATGTGACCAATAAGACCACCTTCGACAACATACGCGCCTGGCTGGGCGAAATACGTGAGTACGCGCAGGAGGATGTGGTCATCGTTTTAATAGGTGAGCTCCAGAATAGATTTCATTAAAGGCAGCTCTGCAGCCGCCTGCTGCAGTTGCCAGCTGCCTGCTGCCAACTGGTGGCCAGTTAATTGAATTACAAGTAAAAACTTTGCAACTTTTGTCGCTTTTCAAATGCACTCTCTACCGCCCTCTCGCCCTCCCTCTCTTTCCTTCTCCGTCCGTCCATGCACACAGGCAACAAGGCCGATTGCGGCAGCAGCGAGCGGCAGGTGAAGCGCGAGGATGGCGAGCGACTCGGACGTGAGCACAATGTGCCATTCATGGAGACATCGGCCAAGACGGGACTCAACGTGGAGCTGGCATTCACAGCGGTGGCCAGGTGAGCGTTAAACAATTTTGCAGCCAACCCACCAGATAAAACGACTCGAAGGAGTTTGACTTAAGTTTTTAGCAAGCTGACGACGATTTATTTGCACTCTCGAACTTTAAGAGAGCAAACTAATTAATTTAATGCCCCAACTCTGCCAGCTCTCTTTTGCTATGGCTAGTTCTTAAAACTCGTATTATGCTTAATCACTTGAACTTTGAGTAGTTTTAATCGTCGCACTAATTACACTCTTTACGCACTTAAGTTTTTAGTTATATTAAATTTGCTTGCCATTTGCTCGACCTTGTCAATATCTGATAACTTTTGATGGTTGCCAAAAATTAACTAACTAACTCCATTGCCGCTCTATATTTTTTATCCACAGACAGCTGAAGTGCCGTGGCTACGACCATGGCGATGATGGAAAATTCAATGTGCATGATTTTGTGCGTGACAATACAAAGGCCCGGTCCGTTTGTGCTCAATGCCGGAACATGTAATTTGTTCATGTCCCCGCACAATGAAAACTCGCACAAAACCAACACGAGTAGCCCTCAAAACAAAGCGCAAATTTGTACGACAAGAAAAAAAAAAAACAAAAATAACAATAATAATAGAAAAAAATGCAAAACTGACAAAAATATTGGTTATTGAGAGAATGTATTTGTAGGCCCTGATGGGATAGTGTTAGCACTTTGTATGTAAATTGAAATTCGGAGGGAACGAGTATGAAAAATATGAAGAATGCCCCGATTGGGCATGTATAATTGGGCATTTGATAGCATTAATAATGAATAATATATACATACATGAATACATATACATATATCTATATACAAGCGCATACTTTATTTTTTGGTAAGGACAACGGTAAGGTCCTTGATAAGCCCGAAGAATCGGCACAATGTGCAGCAAAATCATGCTACATTGAGATTTGTCCAGCACGTCGTTGACGAACCCGGCATGCTAATTCGTACTTATTATAATAGCCCTGTTAGTGGCCATACAATATGTGAACCGAAAATATACTATAAAAATGAATGTAAAATTGTACGCGATAGCTTCTATATAAAGGCATTGCTCAGGAGCAACCAATCTAGATTGAACCAAACCCAATTAATGAAAAACAATCACTCAATTTACCTAAACAAAACTATTAATTACATTTATTGAGACTTATGTTTTATTAAGTATCGTTAAGTGTTATGTCTACCGTTAAGTTTTATCCTCAAACCCAAAAAAAAAAAACAAAAATATTACCAAAAACTAAATTGTTAAATAACTACAACTATTTTAAATTATTTACACCAATGAAGGAAAATTAAATTTAAACTATTAAATACTCTATCTAATTAAGTTAGCTAAAACTCTATGTAAACTTGGGCATGCTCTATATGCAATACATACGTATATGCAGTTACTCACTACAACTATTCAACTACGGATGCATTCGGAATACCAACGCAAACTTTATATATCATATAAAAAGGTAAACTACATATATAATATAAACCGCGTTATATTTAAGCAAGCAGCTTGCATGCATGCATACATATGTAATGTACTACAAATATACCATAACAACAAATACATATTTACATTGAATGTGGTTTAAAAAGAACTTGTAACGTCTTTTATTTGAAATTTCAATGCGCGCGCGCACCGTGGGTAGTAGATTAACCAACACTGCTGCATGTTCAACGGCACTTAATGTTGGTGTGGCCACACTATGTTCAAATTGTCATCGATAACTGAAAACCGATAAGTGCCGTAGAAACATGTGCTTGGCTCGTTTTGAAAATAAAGCAAAGTGAAAATTATTATTTTGTTGTTAAATTGTGGTAACAAACAAGCCAAACATGGCGGATCATGCGTTTCATCGGCCTGGCCCGTTGAAGCAAACAAACAAAGCCCATAAAACGGGCCGTCATCGCTCCAAAGGCGCCATCGACAATGCCCTCAAAGGTGTGTATTCTTCTACAGCTGCGGCACAAAATGTTAACTTGAATTTTTGTTGTTTATCTTAGGCAAAGTGGGTCTCAAAGCCATCTCGCATAAGCATAAGCTGCAGCAGCGAAAGGAGCAGCGACGCAATCAAATGAATCAGCTGCGCAAAAACAAACGCGACGAAGTCTTGATGCAGAAGCGTCAGCTGGGGGGCCAGAATACCGCCCCATTTCTGGTGTGTTTGCTGCCCATGCACGAGCAAATCGATCCCAACTCGGCGCTTGCAATACTCGAGAGCTGCGACAGTGAAATCGTTGTGGATAGGTCACCTAGCGGCGTCGTTTATATGAATCTGCCGCGCTTCAAGCAGCGCTTCGCCTTTGTCATGCCGCCCGTTGGACGTGGCAACGAGCTAATTGTCCTGGACTATCTGAAGGTGTGCGACACCACATTGATGCTGACGTCGGCCGCCTTTGGCGAGGATGACATCTTTGATCGTTGGGGACAGCGTGTGTTCAACATGGTTTCAGCTCAGGGCATACCGACGCCAGTTGTAGCGTTGATGGATCTGGAATCCATTAATCCAAAGCGGCGCACTGCTGCAAAGCAAGCGGCTCAGAAGTTTATCAGCAAACTGCTGCCAGAGGAAAAGATCATGCAGCTGGACACTGCCCCCGAGGGACTTAATGTTATTCGACGTATTGGTGGGCAGAAAAAGCGCTTGCTGCACAACGTCAACAATCGCCCCAACTTGTTTGGCGATGTGATCGAATATGTGCCTAATGGAGAGATGGGCACTCTGAAGGTAACGGGCTATCTACGTGGACAGTCACTGAATGTGAATGGACTCGTGCACATACCCGGGCTGGGTGATTTTCAACTCGGCCAGGTGGATGCGCCGCCCGATCCCTATAAGTTGGACAAGAGTCGCGATGGAGAGGCAGCTCAAGTGCGATTGCTCGACCGCAGCAATCCAGAGAAGCAAACTTCGCTGCAGACCGAGAACATACCCGATCCTATGGATGCGGAGCAAACGTGGCCAACAGAAGAGGAAATCGAGGCCGCACAAAAGGAGACTAAGAAAACAAAACTAATCAAGCGCGTGCCCAAAGGCTACAGCGATTATCAGGCCGCCTGGATTCCCGATGTGGAGGAAGTGGAAGGCAATGATGATGATGCTGATGAAGACGATGAGGATGATGATATGAGCGATGAAGAAGATGACGAGGACTTTATGTCCTGTGATAACAAATCCTTTGAGGATGAGTGCGAGAAACGTGACTCGGATACGGAAGAGTATTTGGACAGCGTGTCTGTGTCCTCAGAGGCAGCTGTTAATGATGAAAAGTACGATCAGCAAATGGATTTCCAGGAAGAGCGGGAAACACTACAGAAACTGCAACAGGCACGCACTGACCAACTGTGGCCCGACGAAATCGACACGCCCCTCGATGTTCCTGCTCATGAACGTTTCCAGAAGTATCGCGGCCTGGAATCGTTCCGCACATCGCCCTGGGATGCCAAAGAGAATCTGCCCAGTGATTATGCGCGCATCTATCAGTTTAAGAATTTCGATCGCACCAAGCGTCGCATTTTAGCAGAGGCAAAGGAATTCGAGGGCATTTTGGTGAGTAGTTGAACAATATTATATGTAAACACCCTTAACTTATTTTTAATTTAAATTCCAGCCCGGCTTGTATATTACGCTGCATGTCATCAATGTGCCCGCTAGCCGCTGGGACGCTTTCAGATCCGGTCAGCTCACAGACAATGTCATCGTTTATGGCATGCTGCCGCACGAGCACCAGATGTGCGTTATGAACGTTGTCCTGCAACGTATTCCCGACTCGGAGGTGCCGCTTAAGTCGAAGGAGCAACTGATTGTCCAGTGTGGCTATCGTCGCTTCGTTGTCAACCCAATTTACAGTCAGCACACCAATGGCGACAAGCATAAGGTGCGTCTTTTCTACATAAAGTGTTTTTTACCAGAATAATTGATTAATTGTTTCACGCAGTTTGAGCGTTTCTTCCGTCCGTATGAGACCGTGTGCGCCACTTTTTATGCGCCCATACAATTTCCTCCTGCTGCAGTGCTCGCTTTTAAGGTGAATCCCGATTCCTCGCTAGCATTGGTCGCCCGAGGCCGCCTGCTTTCTTGTAATCCTGATCGGATAGTGCTGAAGCGCGTTGTCCTTAGCGGTCATCCGATGCGCATTAATCGAAAATCGGCGACGATACGCTACATGTTCTTTTACAAGGAGGACGTCGAGTACTTCAAGCCCGTCAAGCTACGCACAAAATGCGGTCGCATGGGTCACATTAAGGAGTCCCTAGGTACGCACGGTCACATGAAGTGCTACTTCGATGGGCAACTGCGCTCATACGACACTGCATTCATGTATCTCTATAAACGTGTCTTCCCCAAATGGAATTATGAAGAATGCCTTGTGCGCAGCGCAGAGCATGCACGCCAAGAGGCAGCGGCGGAGGTTCGCCGCAACTCGAAGCAGCTCGAGGATGTGTCCATGGAGCAGTAGTTGAATTTGTAAATATGTCTAATTATACATATGTTTATATATATATATATCTGTGCATATATTGAAATAAATTGTCTCGCGGACACAACACAAGTTACACTTTATCTTTTTTTGTATAATAGGTATAATAATAGAACTATATTCACAAACAGTTGGCTTAACTAATCGGGGTAATAAACGTATAACATATATATATATAAATATATATATAGATAAAAATATATATATATATATATGTATATATATATATTTATAAAACGGGACACGGTTAAAAGCTGAAGCCGCATTGCACAGCTCTATGGGATTCTTTTAATGGCTAATACATTGGGTTCTAGCAGGATATTGGATATCAAATGGGGGACTTAGTAGTTGTAGTTAGTGGACAAGCACTTACGTCGCTTCTTTTGCAGCTGTTCAATCTGCTCCACGATGTGGGTGCGCGTCTGGAATGCTTTAACAATGCATTCGCAAGTGAGTACAGTGGCTATAAACTGATTAATGGATATATGCCAGGCATCCGAGGTGTTTGTGCTTTTGCTGCTGCCGCTGCTGTTGGATGTGGTCGCTGTTGCTGATGCTCTAGCTGCAGCTGATGTTTCTGCTTTTGCCTGACGCAACTCCTCTTCGAGAGCCACAAATAAACGTGTCGTGCTGCTGGGCTCTGCCGCGGGTGTTGTCGGATTTCCATTGCTATCCGGTTGCTGATGGGATGGCAATAATGATAATTAAAATATGTATATGATATACACAACTTGCACTCACCTCATCACCGCTGCCGCCCAAATTGAGCTGCGTGAAACTCTCCAAACTTGGCTCTTTCTTAATATTGCTGTTGCCCATTTCAATCAGATTTTCGACTGCCAAAATATTGAGTTAAAACGGGATCGGTTAACATTCCTAATGGATAGTCGCCCACTTACATGCACGTTGCATATCCTCGTCCTGTACACAGCCCATTATCTCAATGATGCTACGCCACAGCAGCTGAAAGTTCTCCTTGCGCATGTTAGGTACCTGACGGTGCTGTCCTGTGGCGGAGGCACCCTCATCCAGCAAATAGCCGAGGCTGCCCAAGCTGCGTGTGTCCGTTGCATTCGAATCGGCGCGCTCTAGACGCGTGGCCGCGACCAGGTCGCTGATCTGTGAGAAATTCGATATAGTCTCAACGTTCAGTAGCATTTGTTCTGCAGCAGCTGCGGCTGCAGCTGTCGTCGATGTTTGCGGCGGCGTTATGCGTGCCGCGCCCAGATCTGAAATATCCGAAAATGTGTCAATCGATTCGTAACGTCCCTGCTGGCGTAGGCCGATGTCGTTGTCGTCATCCTGCCCAGCATCTGTGCGTGTTGCAGTACCCTGGAGTGCGGCGGGCAGATCCACATAAAAAGTCGAGTTGCGGTGCGCCGGCGACGATGCATTCGAATTCAGCGAAAGATTCGGCGTTGTCCTTGACAAATCCATGAATGTGTTGCCCGAAATACCAGCCAGATTATGCAAATGCTGCGTGGCGCTTACCAGCGCAAAGTCATCGGCATCAAAGTTGTGATCCGATGGAGACGGCAGCGCTTCAATCGACTCCGAGGCATCCTCGCTGCAGAAACAACGGAATTAGTACCAGGATTAAGAAAATTTTATAACAAAACAAAGCAATTACTCAAAGAAATCTTCTGCTTCGAAAGCCTCCTCGGCATCATCTTTGATCCGCGGTCGTGGACGCCGCATGCGTTCAATTTCTGCCTTCGACAACAGCGGCGGCAAATGCAACACAAAGAGCAGCTTAAGTTTCTCCATGCTCTTGCTGGAGCAGACCAAGCCAAAGGCATTGATTAGCTGACCAAAGTCCAATTGTCCGGTGCCTTTTTTGTCCGTCAGCTGTCAAGAGATTTAGATTAGATTTAATTGAATGCATTGGCTTGGACAATCTGTGATTTACCCTGAACAGTTTTTCGCCAACATCAACGCTGACGCACTTGCGCCAGGGCGTTAGCTCTGTGAAGAGCGTGTGGAATACCTCAAAGTTGACGCTGTAAGCCTCGTGGCGTCCATTGCCGCCACCGGGCATAACATCGCCAAGACCAGCACGTGTCGGTGACTGATGATGAGGCAGCAGCTGCGGCGCCTCACTCATGTGGCATTGCGC